ATATATATATATTCTTATTTCCGCCATATGTTTATAGATCTTGTTAAAAAGAGTATATTGCGTGCTGTCCTTTTGCTATTGATAGATCATTCCGCAACTACAAACAATCATGTCAACGTATTATCTATTGATCAAAATCAAAAAAAAGAAAATGAATACAAACATTAAATGTACATAGTTATTGATATAAAAGGGAAGGCCGGATATATTTGACATGTTCCATTTATCAACTAAACGATATATATATTCAAAAGATTTCATTAAAATTGACTTAGTATTTATTTTTAGAATTTATAAAACAAAAGGAAAAATAACAAAAGATTAAACCCTGGAAATAAATTGTGTATTTCATGTCTAGTTTCTTCCGGAGATGCTATCATGCGTTCTTAATTCGTTTTTCTCATTTTGTACATCGAATGAGAAAGAAAAAGACTATACATCTTTTTGGATTATCATCAAAGCTTCTTATGATAATTGAGCATTTTTTTTTGTCTTTCATTACATATCTAAACAATATATATATATATAGAGAGAGAGATAAAGTATGAAAAGCGGATTAAATCAAGATTTATCTTTTTGCAAATAAAAATTCTATATCTCTTTTGTTTTGTTGTTAACATAAAATTAACATATGAAATATTTTCTTCAGGTTTTTCTTTTTCTTACGGCTATATTAAATAAAATCACGCTATGTGTTCCTTCTCTTGTTAGATGAATATTGAATATACTTCACACATTCTAGTTATTTTTCTCTCTGTTCTCTTTCAATAGGTATTGTTGAACTTTTGTCAACAGATTATATCGTACTGTGACTGACAGAATGAATATATATATATATATACGAGACAGTACCATTACGGTGACAAAGAGCCACTCATCATTCTCTTCTCCTCCTTCTCTCTTGAGTACCAATGTGTATGTGTGTTCAACGATAGTGTCAAAAATGCAAATGTGAATTAATTCCTTCTCTTATACTTATATTCACACATTGAATTTGATTGGAATTGTATTGTATAGTTAAACATACTATTTTTCTTTTATAAGATTCAATCATGAAATCTTCTATTCGATCTCAAGAGGATTTCTATTTAGTATTAAAAATTATTGCATCTATACTAATATTTTTCTTTTATATGAATAGAATTCGAAGGTGATTGATAGTGCATTACATATAACTATATATATATATGTATACGAGAATCAGAGCCATGTGTTGTTTGGTTGACAGCTGGCGTCGTGCAGAGAAACTGAATTATTGAACTATTAACACGAACACGCACATATATATATGTATACATATAGTAGTCGAGAGATAGATGAGAGTGGATTAACGATCGCAAGCAAGTAGAAGACCAACTGATGAGAACATATGCAGTAGAAAAGAATATAGGCAAATATCAAGCAATTGCAAGAGAGAAAAAATGAGAAGCTACATACACAATAATAATAATAATAACAAAAACACCAACAACAGTCAGCTTATAGAATCTTACTTTTCTTTCTATCGATATATAGATAGATATATGCATTGGTACTAAACATACATATCAATAGTTGTTATGATAATAATAAAAAAAATTGAATAGGTGGTGCCCTTTCAGATTTCTACTAAATCATTTCCTGTTTGATTTTTTTTTCTTTCCATCATTATATCAAACAGATGAGAAAGCATGGCAAATTAATTCTGACGCCTTGTCTCTGATTATTTGATTTGTTATCCTTCGGCAGAAAATTAATCAAAGAGCTTATTTCAAGTATTTGCTTAAATCATTCATGTCATTTCTTTAGGCAATAATTCCATCTCTTATACAGGCAAGGAACTGTAAAGATTACTCTATCATCAGTCTACTGTAGGTCTTTTTTTTATCTTGATCGTGACCTTTTCTAAATGAATAAAAAAGTAAACTCTTTGCATTTCACATGAACTTGTTGAACATTTTTGTCGATATATCGATTGTCTCATATTGTCAATTCTTTTTTTTTCTTCACATAAAAATGTTAGATTTCTTTATGTCGAATAAATTTACTATACACCATCTTGATATGTGTATACAACGAAAAGATTATGATGATGAATGAAAAGCTACACGTACACGTGAGAAGATTCTATCTTGATCGTGCATGCAATACACAACTCGTCTTTTTTTCTTCTTTTTTCATCTATACACACACACACACACACACACACACGTCCCATCTCGACAATAACTAACAGCGATAGATAGAATGTGAATGGGCTGTCAGGCAATGCTGATTCAATCTTCTATAGATAAAAATAGAGTAATCGAATCATGAATAGGTTTTCTGCTCACTAGAGACAAACGAACGTCTCGTTTATTTTTTTTTTCTTTTTTCTCATTCAATTAGCTGTCAGTTAGCAATCTACCTGTGCATTGATGACAGGTGGTGTTGGTGGAGGGTCCGATGAATGCGTATATATCTATATTTTCTACTGACAAGTAAAGCAAAAAAACTTAACTAAGAGGGGAAAGAAGGGAAAAGGGGGGAAAGAGGGGGAAAGGGGGAGAGAGAGAGAAAGAATCATTAGCAAACAGACATGATGAGTCCAATAATACAAGTGCGATAAGAACAGTAAGAAACCCTCGGCAGCAAGGGTAATTGAATAGAGAGCATGCACGTATTCGCTTGTTCAATTCATTAGAGACAGATCGACATTATAAATAGGGAGAGAAGAGGAGAGGAAGAAGAAGCAAAAAGAAAAAGAAATCAGATCTTCGAGAAATGAAGCTTTTCGTCATCATCTGGGGAATGGATCAGATGACGAGTAGTGTATATATGTTTATAAATCGGCTCGACCATCCAGCTGCGTACTGCTCACATAACATGGATAATGATGGTTTCTCTCGTACACATATGGCCTGTATAATGTATATGTATATATATATATATATGCTCCAGCTGAGAACAAGCAAGCAAGAGAAGAGAAAGATCCGTTTGTGTTGTGTTTGATCGATGTTCTGTGATCAATTTGTTCTTTGTCAGAAAGTGTCAGAGAAAAATCTGGCTAATATCAGCTGCAGTTGTTCTCGCCTTTCGTCATTCTTGTAAAGAGAGTGATAATGAGTTTTTTCTTCGTCGTCTTCTTCTTCGTCTTCTTTTTTCCCTTCTACTACAGCATACAATTAAACAAATCACATACAAAAAAAGCAAAAAAAAAAAAGAGAGAGAAGTTAGCTCTCTTCATTTCTAATGATGAACACTTCATGAAACATGTGTGATCGATAGCCGGGAGCTTTTCGTTCATCCCTTTATAATACACACAATCGATGACAACCTCGCGAGATCTTTTGTGCCGATTTCACATTATTATCGTGCACAGCATATATCACATATCCTCAAGTAATGAACGACACGCGCGAGGTAATCTTATAATAAAAAAAGCAAAAAAGAGAGAGAGAGAGAGAGAAAATTTTCTTGCGTTTCTTTTTTTTTCTTCCCTTGCTCGTCCCGTTCTTTTCTGCATCAGATGAAGCTGTCAAATTGTAACCAATCATTGAACTCGACAAGCAGCTGTTTTTGCTTGCATAGACAGAAATAGAGAACGAACGAACGTTCGACCCGGCCGAGAGTGTATGTATAATGAGTGTACTTTCTTTGCTTGCATCGACAATCAGCTGTGTTAAAAGAATCGATAGAACAGGACGAAAAAGAAAAAAAAGAAATGTATATAGTTATGGAGGAAAAAAGGAGAAAGAGAGTGAATAAGAGAACGACAGTTATAGAAAAACGAGAGAAAAAGAGAGAATAACGGCCTCCCCTGTTGCATTTCTTGTTCAGATCGAGTGTGCGACGACGACGACGACACCATCATTATACATACATCCCAGCAACTCAACCTCTTCTATCGGTGACACACGTATATTTCTATGTAAGTCTTTAAAAACAAACCTTCTGTCTGTTCATCTTGATTAACTCATGCACAAGTATCTCAAATAAAACAAACTATTGTTAGTTATAATAAAAAGCTCCTTGGAAAAAAGAAAGTGTCTAATTAAAAATAACTTTTCATAATGATCGAGTCAATTAGCCGAGAAAAAAGAAGTTTTCTAACTGAAGGTTATGCATATTTTCAGGTACTTTTCATGTTGGATATTTTCAACATTTGAAATAAGTTTCTTTTTTTTTCTTATTCATCATTATCGTTTATCGTTTACATTATGCATTCAGACTGGATAGCAGGTAAAGAGCAAAACAACATACATACACATACATATATACGCATACATATATATGTATGTATGTATATTACCTCGAAAATTTTGTAATAACGAAATAAACTATTTTTGATTAATATCACCATATGATTTGTATTGAATACTCTTAAAAACAGTCTGTCGCCTCGTCTTCTTTTTCATTTTTTACATAATCAAATGCTCTTATTCGTCTTTTTTAACAATTTAAGTCTCAGCTGTTACACACTCGACGACACTCAATCTTTTCTTTTTCTTTTTTTCCTAATCTCTTGAGATCTATGAATATGCACATTGGGATTCAATTCTAATGATCCTGTGTATTGAACCGAATGAGAGAAGACCAGGTGGCGGAAGTAGATGAGGGCGGACAGTAAAAATAAAAAATAAAAACAATAGATTGAACATAGAATAGAATTAAATGTCAAAATAATATTCTAGAATTGACAATAATGGCAGTATCAACGTCGTCAACATCAACACAATCAGCTGGATCATCATCAATTATTTCTGTCAGTCATCCACAGTTTACCCGTAATGCATCATGTCCAACACAACGAACGTTATCATCAACAATGAATTCTTCACTTGAAAAAAAATATAGTTCTTCATCAAATACATTACATACATATTTTAATCAAATAGATCAACGTTCAAATACAATACCATCACATCATTCAACAATATTAGAAAATAAAAATTTTCTACAAAGAATGAAAACTCGTGTTGTTAATCTATTTAAACATATTTCATCTGGAACAAATCCAATAAATACTCAAGATAATCAATTGGATATAAATCAACAATCAACATTTATTTATGATCCTGAACTTGATTTACGTGAAGAACATTTATCACTTGTTG